TCCGTTCAACTCATCGGTACACTGGAGTAGTTAGAAAAATGAACACCACTTAACGACCAACGTCGTGGCGTGGTACACAAGCGTGCCATCAAAATAAAACAAAATCAGCTTGAAAAGACAGTGGGTTCGAGTCCCGCTCAGAGCTACCGTAAAAACGTAAATCAAATAAACTGAAATCTCTTCAAACCGTAAACAAGTAAACAAAAGAACGTCGCAAAAAATAATAAACCTCACAAAACTCCACCATACAAAACTGAATGAATAAATAATAAAATAACTAACGTCTTAAACTGGGACGCGCAATTTGTTCAACAGTTTCCAGATTGTGACAAGAGATAAACAAGACCCAAGTCAAGGTAAGTTTTGTTAAAGTGTCAATGGCGTTCCCTATATTACGAAAACAATTCAGGCAACAGACGAATATCTTCTGTGATGTTGTGGAATTTATACTGTGTCTGCGGAATTGTTGATTGAGGGTTTGAAGCCAGCAGTTAACATTTTGTTAGAAAGTTTCACAATTAAATCAAATATCCAATGATACCAGTATTTTTATTTCATTATTTTAACAACTTGCAATGGTCGGAGTTGGTCAAACCACGAGTTCTTACACCAAAATAAGTCTCAAATATTTGTCGACACATTTATTCTCCCAATTTAACAACCTTGTAGAGGTGGAAATTAATTAAACAACAGGTATTTACTCACAAATATAATGGTCAATGTTTGTCCATACATTCATTCTGTCAATTTAAGAACTTGTAATTGTTGGAATTAATCAAATGAGAGTTGTCTACACCAAAATAAGTTTCAAATACTTGTCCATACATTTATTCTCTCAATTTAACAACCTTGTAGAGGTGGGAATTAATTAAACAACAGGTATTTACTCACAAATATAATGGTCAATATTTGTCCATACATTTATTCTCTCAATTTAACAACTTGTAATGGTGTAAAATAATTAAACGAGAGCTGTCTACACCAAAATAAGTCTAAAATATTTGTTCGCACATTTATTCTCTCAATTTAACAACTTGTAATGGTGTAAAATAATTAAACGAGAGCTGTCTACACCAAAATAAGTCTAAAATATTTGTCCGCACATTTATTCTCTCAATTTAACAACTTGTAATGGCGAAAATAATTAAACGAGAGCTGTCTACACCAAAATAAGTCTAAAATATTTATCCGCACATTTATTCTCTCAATTTAACAACTTGTAATTGTGGGAATTAATCAAACGAGAGCTGTCTACACCAAAATAAGTCTAAAATATTTGTCCGCACACTTATTCTCTCAATTTAACAACTTGTAATTGTGGGAATTAATCAAACGAGAGCTGTCAACACCAAAATAAGTCTAAAATATTTGTTCGCACATTTATTCTCTCAATTTAACAACCTGTAATTGTGTAAAATAATTAAAAGAGAGTTGTCTACACCAAAATTAATCTCAAATACTTGTCCACACATTTATTGTCACAATTTAACCACATGTTGATAGTGGAAATTACTTAAACGCGACTTGTTTAATCAGTTGACATAATGCAACTTACCAGCAGACAGTGCACAACAGAGTATCATTATATAAACAGGAACGTGTCTTAGCATTAGGGTTAGGGTCAGGTCAGGTATGGGCAACGCAAATGGCAAACACCCAATTGGCAAGATGTACACTAACGGGTTATGGCATGCATATAGTTTACACAAGTAAAAACACAACATTGGCATTTTTTTGGACAATTGTAACTCAATAATAGAAATATGTTGTATTTCTATATATATACACACTATATAGTCTCATCAAATGCAAACACATCCAGTTAATCCATTGTGGTCTTGTGGGTCAGTTGTCTACACAGTGATCAGGAGAACCCCGGTTCAATTCCCAGACACGAGGATCAATGTATTGACCCCCTAAGGATTGCTAATCCCCCTTTCTAACTCTTCCCCCAAAAATAATATATTGCCCCTTTTAGAATGTATTGATCCACAAATTAATAAATATTCATGAGCACAGAAACTGCTACATCATGAATAAATTAGCATAATTAAAAAAAAATGTGCATAAAGTGTAAGTACTCCTTCTGGAGTCCTGCCAAAATTTAATATGTAGACAGAGATAAATGAGTAATCTTGTAATCTATTATAGTAAAATGGCATTATGTTTTACTTTCAGGATTTTCGTAAAGTAACATCGGTTAATATTGTTTCAACTGGAGAAGTAAAAATTTTAAATGGTCAGTATATAGGAGAGCTGGATCCAAGTGACAATAGTTTGGAGGTAAGACTGACTATTCTCATGAGTCATCGCGTTCTGTTTCTTTGTTTTGTGTTTGTTAAATGTGTAAACGGTCACATTTGTTTGATGAATGTTCATGTCCCTAAACTCAAATATGTTGGATTAATCAAGATAAAAGGTAATGTATATAGGGGAGGGGGGGGGTCTGTCGTTGTTGTCGTCATCGTCTTGATTTGTAGAACTTTCTTGAAGTTACAGTTACATTTAGTCAATTTCTTTATGACAAACAGATTTGAAATTTCGCTACAACAGATGTTGTTGAAATGCTTCACACTATTACAGACAAAAGTGAATAGAAATACCATATTTGCTTTATTAGAAGGGCATCTCTGATAACAGTGCACATAAACCAAGACTCGTATTTATTGTAAACGGGGTTAGTAAAATATGGTTTATCTTGAATATAGACAAAGCTGTCATTAATGTAAGCAACTAAAAAAACAACTACAGTATTACTGTTTCTCATATCTGGCTATCTTGTTTCATCTTCAGATAATCACAGAAGCTCACCCAGACTTAGCTATCATTGAGGAGAAAAAAGCTGTGCCAATCTGGATAATAATATTAGCAGCACTAGGTGGTCTTCTCCTTCTCATTATAGTAGTTATAATCCTTTGGAGGGTAAGTCTCTTGAATGGTGTTGAAAGTGTGTCTGTCTCTGAAATTCACCTGCTTGTGTCAGATACTTTGTGTAATGAGTACAATACATTGCATCTTGATGGTGTTAACAATTTTATGCAGTACCCCACACATGTACCAAGACTACTGATTTTGTTAGAATTAACATCTCAGCAAGACCATTTTTACCTTGCCCGTACCATCAAAGATGGAAGGGAAAGGTATATTAAGGGAAAAATTTTGTCCGGCGTAGTCGTTGTTGTTGTTGTTGTTGTCGTTGTCGTCGTCGTCGTCGTCGTCGTTAATAATTGCTATTGTGTGCATAATAACTTTACTAATTCTATTCCAAACTTCATCAAACTTGGTCACCTTATTCATCAGTATAAAGTCTTCCCCGAGTTTGAACAACAG